AGAGAAGGAAGAAAACACAGAGAAGAGAGTAGAATGCAAATGTGTGACGTATGCAGGAGTTGAACACAGTGGTTGTGTTAGATAGCAGCTGATGTACGTGTACAGCAGTACTGCAGCTGTATGACGTGAAACGGCGGACGCGGCCACATTTTACCGTCTCATAATATACAATAAACCCCAAGTTATAATGATAGAAGGGGTGAGCGAGAGAGAGACGAGAACAAATACGATAGATAGAGAGAGAGACAAGAGAGGAAGAGGGATGAGAATGATGAGAAAGAGGAGAGATGCATAGGAGAGAGAGAGAGACGAGAGAGAGAGGGTGAGAGACACACACAGACGAGAGAGAGAAGTAGAATGCAGATGAGTGAGTTGCAGGAAGTAGAACACAGTGGTTGTGGTTAGGATGACAGCCTTGATGTCGTGCTACAGCAGTACTTGCCAGCTGTTGTCACGTGAACGACGGACGCGGAGCCACATTGTACGTCTCATATATATCAATAAACCCAAGTATAATGTAGAAGGGTGAGCAAGAGAGAGAGAGAACAAAATAGATAGATAGAGGGAGCAGAGAGAGCAGGTAGGACAGAGAGACAAGAGAGAGAGAGAGAGAGAGAGAGAGGAGAGACAAAAAGAGAGAGAGAGAGAGACGGAGCATGAGGAAGAGGAGAGAGTGAGTAAGAGAGAGAGAGCGTGGGAGCGAGTGCGAGCGATGAGCGATGAGCAGAGAGGAGAGCGGACGAGCGAGAAGCTGAGAGTCCGAGAGCGAGATGAGAGAGAGCGAGACAATGAGAATATAGAGAGGGATGAGAGAGGGAGAGACGAGAGGAGAGGAGGTGCGAGAGAGAGAGACGGAGACCCGAGAGAGAGAGCGTAGAGATGATAGCCGGAACGAGAAGAAGAGAGAAGAGATGAGAGAGAGAAGAGAGGAGAGTAGCGGTGCTGAGAGGAGAGACGAGAGCAGATGAGAGCGAGAGAAGAGAGAGAGAGATGAGAGAGGGAGAGAGAAGAGAGAGAGTGAGAGAGAGAGAAAGAGGAGAGGAGAGAGAGAGTAGAGAGACCAAGAGAGAGAGACGAGAAGAGATAGGGAGAGTGCGAGAGAGGGAGAGAGAGATAGAAGGAGGGAGAGAAAGAATAAGAGAGACTAAGAGAGAGAGAGAGATAGAGCGAAGGAGAGAAAGAGAGAGAGCAATGCAATATGAAGGCAGATATATATGCAATATATATATATGCGACTGTAACTGCCATTACTGACACATGCAGACGTCTGGTTGTAGACATTAAATCACCAGCCTCTGCATCTCGAGCGAGGCTGCTTCCGCTGCCCAACCATTACACTAAAGTCCAAAGTCCTCCGCGTTGCGGAAAACGCAGTTTTGAGAAAAAAGGAAAAAAAACCTCCAAAAATGACAAAAAAACGAAATTTAATTAAATAAAAACTCTGAAAAAAAATAATAAGAAGAAAATCTGCTTTAAATTCATCTTAATAAAGAATAATAAACTCACGAAATTAATATTTCACCATAATAACGCATGTAGTAGGCCTATGATCGATCTCCCATCTGCATCATAACAATCCGATTGCATCACCTGATCGGAAATTTCCATGGACAATTCGCGCTACTGCAATGCAGTCAATTTTCACACTTCAATTAACATTTACATCTAAGCTCAGCCAACATCAATTCTAAAATAATTAGCCCTCTCCCGATTCCGTTGCCTCGATGCCAATTTTGGATACTGCAACGTACTACAACAGAAACAGAAACAGAAACTTGTTGTCCCACAAGCCTCTGCGCGGCCCGCTCTAAAAATAGACACAGTATTCAATGGGGATATCGAGGGGCGCCTACAATGAGGCAAGTAAATAGTTAATAGTATGCTTTAAGTTTTTTTTGAAAGTCGGAAAATTGCCAAATTTACAAAGCGGAGAAAAGCGGAATTTTGGATATGTAAAGCAGAAAATTTTGGACTTTACATTACACACTCGCAGCGAGCGACGATATATACGGCGCGCGGCTAAGAGCGGCGTAATTGCGTTTCGGCGCCGGTTTGTCGTTGTGATTCGGGGCGAGAGCTTTGGCGAGAGCGAGAATTTTAGTTTATTTTTATTTTATTTTATTGCTTTGCATTACATTATATTACATCACATTACATTATAATACAATACATTACATTACATTACATTACATTACATTACATTACATTATAATACATTACATTACATTACCAAATCACTTGGCGAGAGGGAGAATGCTCGCTGGCTGGCTTGCTCGGCACTCGAGGCACTGGGCTAGCATCGCGGATGCTGGAGCGAGCGTCGGATGATGCGAGGGATGCTGCAGATTCAATCGGCTAATGGCTGATAATAGATCGAAAGGGTGTTAAAGATGAAGCGAGTTGCTTTCTCATTCTCTTGGTCTCGATCTCTTTCTGCCTCTCTCTATCTCTCTCTCTCTCTCTCTTTCTCTCTGTCTGTCTGTCTGTCTCTCTCTCTTTCTCTCTCTCTCTCTCTCTCTCTCTCTCTCTCTCTCTCTCTCTCTCTCTCTCTCTCTCTCTCTCTCTCTCCCTCTTTCTTTCCCTCTCTTCCTCCCTGCCCCATCTCTCTGGCTTTCCCTTTCTCTCTCTTTGTCACTTTCTCTCTC